CACAGATGTCCACATACCTAAACATACACACTGACACACACAGATGTCCATATACCTAAACATACACACTGACACACACAGATGTCCACATATCTAAACATACACACGGACACACACAGATGTCCACATACCTAAACATACATACTGACACACAGATGTCCACATACCTAAACATACACACGGACACACAGATGTCCACATACCTAAACATACACACTGACACACACAGATGTCCACATACCTAAACATACACACGGACACACACAGATGTCCACATACCTAAACATACACACTGACACACACAGATGTCCACATACCTAAACATACACACTGACACACACAGATGTCCACATACATAAACATACACACTGACACACACAGATGTCCACATACATAAACATACACACTGGCACACACAGATGTCCACATATCTAAACATACACACTGACACACACAGATGTCCACATATCTAAACATACACACTGACACACACAGATGTCCACATATCTAAACATACACACTGGCACACACAGATGTCCACATACATAAACATACACACTGGCACACACAGATGTCCACATACATAAACATACACACTGACACACACACAGATGTCCACATACATAAACATACACACTGGCACATACAGATGTCCACATACATAAACATACACACTGACACACACAGATGTCCACATACCTAAACATACACACTGACACACACAGATGTACACATATCTAAACATACACACTGACACACACAGATGTACACATACCTAAACATACACACTGGCACACACACGAATTGCAGCTTCCATAATGTTAAGCACCCTCCCCTCCCCCCTCTGCTTAAATACCTTTTCCTTTGCCGGGAGGTGACTTCCTGAGATTGGCTGATCCTGATGGGAGTCTGAAGTTGCAGAGCTCTCTCTCCTCCCTCCTACTTCTCTCTCAGCTGCCTGCTCCTTCTCTCCCAGCTGCATTCTGGGTGTTCTCAGCCCGCGCGGTCTGAATGCTGTGAGGAAGTAACAGTCACTTCCTCCCAGCACTCCCTGCAGCTTCAAAGGGGCCCGGTCTGCCAAAGGACTGCAGCACCCGGCCGAGCCCCTAATGAGGTCGCTCAACTGATGGCAGTTGCACTATTTTCTCGGGGGGGGGGCAACAGGGCAATTCCGCCACTGGGAGATACAGGCCACATGATTGAGCAGACTTCTTGTCCATCATGGCAAACATGCTCATTTGTAGGGATTATTTTTATCGCATTTTGGTTTTTATTTTTTTCACCAGATTTTTTGTGATCCAGTTTTATTTCTTTTTTATTTGCATCGTGACTTTATGGATTTTTATTTGGCCTTTTTTGGGGGCTGAAGAAAATAAGTTTTAAGAGGAAAGCAGATTGGCTTGCAAGCATTGGCCAGCCACCACACGATAAACCCTTACAGTGCTGCTAGGTGTCCAGTTCTGTTGATTTTTAGTTTTCATCCATGAATGTTGGACGTATCTTACACAATTTGCCCTTTGGAAAATTTTGCTTGGAAGAAACAACATTTTTCTCCCTGCACAATGTTTTAAGTGAAATTGTACCCCATATTTGCCATAACAAAGCTGTTACAAAAGTACTAAACATGTTTGGACACATCTGTATAACATTTGTAAACTAAGATAACCTTGTAAGCAGAAATGCATTCATTGTGCTTCTACCTGTAACATGTGGTAATGTCCACTTTAGTGATTTATTTTTATGTTCCCAAATTGTGTCCTTTGGTATATTGGTAAGCAGAAAATCTGGATCCAATCTGAACAAACAGAACAGAAATCTCCATTTACCCAATGTTAAATATCTATAACTCAAACTATGATTTCCTTAACGAGATTAAGAAATGCAGGCAAGGTGTTTGAAGAAATCAACTTAATTTGTGCCAGAAGTGGGTTTTGAACTGACTTTTTGGTCACCTGTTTCCCATTAACAAGGTGATTGCATTGAACTTCAGGTCAGCAACAGCAGCTATAGAAATAAATAACTTACACACATTATAAACAAAATGACAGGTAGACTATTTGTAGTAGCAGTGTATGGTCTAGTTAGACCACAAAATAAATTCTACCATTATGAGACTGGATGACTGATTTAAAAAAAAAAAAAAATCTGTTTCTCTATACCCCATTTTCTATTTTTCTCCATATATCTTAAATTATGTTCTGAAGACTTTTTTTTCCTCAAGTGAACTTGTTACCACAAAGTGCATTTTTAAAGAGTACTGAAAACTGGTGTTATATTTCAATAGACAATAAATAAGATGTTCACCTTTCAAGTTTTACAGTCCCCTGAAGACACAGATACACGTGCCCGTCAATTTGACTCTACAGCAACCGACTTTTACAAACGCAGTCAAATGCCAGTGATAATAATTTCACATCCAACCAAATGCAAGCTGAATGATTCTTCAAGAATGACTGTTTAGGAAAAAGACAAGTTTGAAAAAGGAAGCCATTTTGTATTGTAATTTAAAGGGACACTATAGTCACCAGAACCACTTCAGCTCAATGAAGTAGTCTGGGTGCCAGGTCCCTCAGGTTTTAACCCTTCAGATGCAAGCATAGCAGTTTGAGAGAAACTGCTATGTTTACATTTGGGGTTAATCCAGCATCTAGTGGCTGTCTTCCGGACAGCCACCAGAGGCACATCTGTGATGCTGGATGCGAATTTCACATCCATCGCGCAGAGCGTCCATAGGAAAGCATTTAGAAATGCTTTCCTATGGACACTTTGACTGCACGCGTGGCACTTGCCGCGCATGCGCATTTGGCTGCACTGACGTCGGACGGGGAGGAGAGGTCACCAGCGCCGAGGAAGCCCGGCGCTGGAATAAGGTAAGCTGCTGAAGGGGTTTTAACCCCTTCAGCACCACGGGAGGGGGACCCTGAGGGTGGGGGCACCCTCAGGGCACTATAGTGTCAGGAAAACCGCTTTGTTTTCCTGACACCATAGTGATCCTTTAAGTTGATTTTCCAGTTAAGACATATGATTATTTTGAGTATTTGATGAGATAGATTAAAGCATAAGTTAAAGGGAATCTATAGTGTAAGGAATACAAAGTTATATTCCTTACACTATAGTTCTCTTAGCTTCCCCCCCCCCAACTATGCAAGGGTTAAAAAACTCTTATAACACTTATCCGATTTCAGTGCCAATGTCTCAAGGGGCTGGGTTGGCACTCTGCCTCCTCTGATATCAACCGACTTGCTTCAATGCATTTCTGTTAGGATGTCCAGTCTAATTGACAGCCACTATAGGCAGTCTTAGTCCTGCAATGTAATTATTGAATTATGATTTACATTGCATGACTAAGTGGTACAGGGACACTGCACCCAGACCACTTCAATAAGTTGAAGTGGTCTGGGGGCCTATAGTTTCCCTTTAACTGGACCTTTGATTTACATCCAAAGTATTCCTAACAAAGAAAAAAATGTAGAAAAACGAGTCCTGTTTGCAATCGATTTATTAGTAATAGCATGGGCAAAATTATTTGAATATCTTAAATCATGGTTGAGGCATTGATGGGAATGGAATTAACAGCAAGTTGGTGAAGAGAAGACCACGAGATTGCAACGACAATCAACACTTGTAGACAGTAGATAATAATGCAGTATCACATTAGACTTTAATGAATGTATAAACATTGATACTACTATCATGCTGAATGATGTATACCAATATGTGTGTTGTTTGTAGAGACTTTGCCTTATCTGCTAACAACCAATGGGCAATGGGATTGAATCAGTCAATCAGCATAACACAATCAAAATAAATACAAATATCAATTTCAATTAAGCTAACAGCATGTTTTTGTTTGTCTTGTTGGAGTGACAAGTCATGGGATGTGAGTATTGTGTAATTTACTGTATTGCTTCTGGAGTAATAGATTGAATGACAAAAACAGTTTTTGTACTAATATAAAATAGTACTAATATACCAGTAAACATTGAAAAGATCAGGATTCTTCTCCAAGCTGCTCCCTAGAAAAACATTCACAGAAAACTACGCTTGCAAAGGATATTTCTAATCAAGACTAAGTCAAACTTGAATATTATGAAATGTAATAGCCTGTCTCTCCCCAAAGCCAACTGATGGAGAATCTCTCTGAAATTCTTCACAATCAGCTGTGCATGTACCGGACCGGTCTCCTCTACCTAGATTCCTCCAAGGATCCTCCGAATCAACTAGACAATGTGGTGTTTTATCAATGCCTTATTCTTGAACACTGGCGTATTGACAAATGCAGCAGAGTCTTAACTCAACAAATACACTAAACAAAATTATAAATGCAGAACAAATAGAAAAAATACTTTCCAAATGGTCATTTGTTAAGTTAAAAATTAACTTTTAATATATTGAATAAAAAAGGCTAGAGGGATATCTAGCTCTTAGTAAATAACATTGCATCAAACCAAAAAGGAGGGGGGAGGGACACAGGTGAAGGAAAATAAATATATACAAAAGATAAGCTGTGGTGACCCCTTGAAGAGCCGCTTACCCGTGAAACGCGCGTCGGGGCTCCTACATGTATCCGTACTCTGCAGTTAAAATTGATTAAATGGATATTCTTCATTATTTTACTAGACTGATTAGATTTCTGCAGTAAGCTACTTAAGTTTAGCAGTACAGTCAGATCAGTGACTTATCTGGCAGGGCAATTTTCTCTACGATCAACTCAGTAAATTATCCTGACTACCGGAGGCTATATATCCTATTTTTATTCACAGCTAGTATAGCAGTTCTGATATTAGACTCAGGTGCCCTTGAAGGCACAGTTTAGACAATAGTTGCCCGTAAAGGCATTAGATTTCGTCAGGATCTGCACTAGTCAACTGCCGGGGATTTTCTCAGAATAACTATCAATAAGTATTATGAATGATATGTTCTGTATACATTCTGTTAACTGTGCTTAGGCTTCCCTGTTTTTTAGGGTTTGTCAGCATTTTTGTTAATGTAATTATTCAGTATTATCTAAGGTTATTCATACAGCTACCTCCCTACCTAGCCACTCCAATCTATATTATACTGCACTGTTATCTAAGACTCTTAACAATATTGGCTAATGGGATACTTTGTTTCTGCGATAACATCCATTTAGGGAAGTAGCCACAGTGTATCCTTTATCATTCATCGTTCCTAGCTGGTACTGCACGTATCTTATCTAAGACAATTACATGGTTTTGCTATTTCATGACAAAAAGTCATGATTTTATGAAAGACACGGAGGCGAGTATTGCATATTCCTTTCTTTACTGTCCACCAATAGCAGCAAAGGATACAAACTGTAAGAAAAAACAGTAACCATAGTGATAGGACACTCCCATATCAAGTCCCAGTATAATAGGCAGCACCTCCCCACCCCATTCCTCTTTCTTTGGAGATGCTACCCGCCAACAGCAAACAGGAAACCAGGAACAGTCCAGAACTAGAAGGGCAACGGCCCAAAGTCCATCCGGATACTTGACCAGAGGACGTCCGAGAACAGGGACAAAACCAGGAACGAATGATGAAACGTTAACCATAGGGAGTCCATCTCAGCGTTAACCACCGAACTCCAGCTAACTTGGAGAAGTCCTGTGGAGAGTGATGCACTCCATGCGATACTCTCAGTACTGAGTCAACCTGCGAAAACATAATGACAGGAGCCCAAAGGTTAAATCGGTACTAACACCAATTGCCCATGCCAAGATACGATACATTGGAAATCAAGCCACCCCTTAGTGTCCCCCATTCCCTCTTAAGTCAAGAATCCCCAGGTATGTGTAGTGTCATGATTCAGATGTACATATAAGTCATACGTGATGGAGCGCAATGCCATACTTACTGCCCTAGGACGAAATATAACAGGGGGGGAAAAAGGTTATACAAATAAGTTAAAGGGAGGGGCAATACTCGCCTCCATGTCTTTCATAAAATCATGACTTTTCGTCATGAAATAGCAAAATCATTTAATTTTATGTTGTGGAAGTAGACAAAAATATTACCAGGTTCAATAAAAAGCGTTTTAATTGACCATTACAATACACAGAGATATCTCATGGAGATTGGCAAGAAGCAATCCATCATGTTACAATTCCTCATATTTTATACATATGACCCGGAACTGGCCTTTCGTTTAGCTTGAATCAGAACTCCAAATATGGTCTTATTTCCTATTGGCTAAATTCTAGCATAACTGACAAATTTAAGGTTCAAAAGTTTAAGCATCCCATGATCTTTCTAACAGATAACTTGACCACAGTCATGCGTCTTACTTCGCTAAAATATCGCTTGTCTATGATAAGAGTTAACACATATAAGACTTCCTCTTTCACAACTTAAGCACACATTTCACCTTTCCCCCCCTGGCAACATCTGACAAGACACGCTTTCAAAATAACTTTTCCTTTTGCAATCCAAAAAACAGTCCAGACATCCATTAATAAATTGTAACAATAAAACATAGTTTCTTCTTATTTCTTAGAGTAAATATTCTTCTTTGATTATATTTTAAGATGATGATTAAACAGCAAAATGGCTGACAGCATGTCAGTAGCAGGTTACATATGTTCACAGTCCTCCCTTTGGTGCTAGGACTTTCACCACAAAAAGCTCCGTGCAACACTTCCGATGTTTAGCGAAGGTCATTCAGTGAGCTAGTGATTTTAAACAGCACTTGGAGGACTTTCCAAATAGATGCGCACACGATCAATATCTTCACGAGAAAGTATGTCTGTATTCCAAGTCGGTATGAGTTGTGACCGGATAGTCAGTAGAAATTGTGCCAGGGGGAGATGAAGGTGAACAGCTCTTGAGGATTAATCGGCATGAACACTTTAGGACATTCACTGCAACATATATAAACACAAGCATCAATACTACTAAAATAACTCAAATGAGAAGACGTTTTCCCATTGTTCCCAACCAATTAGTCAAACCAAAACTCCAGTCAAAACCCCAATTTAAACCTCCCGAAGAAGTATTGTGAACTTCTCTAAGTTTAATTTGTACTTCATGCATTTTATCTCCATCTTTATGAATCTGACCAGTGACATTATCATTAAACAACATCTTGTTTTTATCAGTGCACAAACACCACCTTTGGAGGCCAACAAATAATCTAGGGCGAACCTATTTTGCATAATCATAGCTGAAGCTTGTTCCTGTTCGGCAGACAATTTTTCAATAGCATCTCCTGTATTATTAAAGGCTTCATCTAGTATATCTCCTAACAAGTTTAATTTGTACATTAATTCAATAACCCCCCCTGTAGGTACAAAACCTGCAAATAGCGTATCTCCTTCACCAGATTTTAGTTCTTTCGGTTTTATCTTTTTTGGAACTAATAACCTTTCTTTTATTCCTCATCCTTCCTTCAGGCAAATTTTCATGAAGGGTTAACGCTGGGATAATATTACCTAGATAACAAGTTCCCACCCAATTGCATGGAAGTCTTTTTACCGCCCAACTACCAGATAAATAGTATACCCCAAATGGAAGATGAATATCAATAACACGAGAATCTGAGCAGTCAAAAATAGGTTGATTAATATAGGGCAGTAGCATAAAAAGATTGGAAGTTAAAGTTTGAGTATTAAAGTAGGCCCATCTCAAAATAGTGACATTTAAATGTTCATTCTGGTCATAATTATTATCCATGATTTCTACCTCAGAAGTCAAATTTACCCTTACATGATTAGTAATCACCGGGATTCTATCCTTGATGGGACATTTTGTTAAAATATCTTCTAATAAGGGTTTCCAACAAAAAGCTTTCAATCTACCACTACAAGGGGCAGAATTAGTTTCAGACCCACATAGATTATAAAGGACATTGTTTTCAAAAATAACAATAGCATTGCTTATAGGCTTAACAATCTTGTCAGGACTTTTCTGATCCCTGTTAGAAATTACTACTGCTCTGCTAGTAATAGGATATGTTAAATGAACCTTAGCAGGTTCCCCAGATTTGGATACTTCATTCTGAATAAATCCAACAAACCCCGTTTTATTTGCTCTTATTTTCTCACAAAGACCCATAAAGATTCCATAGACCATGGCACCCCCACAAAAGGATAACCATAGTTCATGGAATGCAGAGCAAACCCACAAACCCAACAATGATTACTTTTGTTTGACAATTTATACAATTCAGTAGCTGTTTTAACAAAATGGTTATCTATCTCCCATGAAGAAAAATCACTTGGGTTCTCGGCCCATACTACACGTGTATTAAAAAAAAAAAAAAAAAAAAAAGCTAACGTAGTGTAGAGGATGAAAAATTTTAAAAATGTCATAATGACAATCATTAAGGACAATATAAGTTTAACCAGTGTGAGATACATGAAGAAAAACAGTAGAGTTGACTTTGGATTAGAAAGATACTCCCCTTAAAAAGTACCCCTTTTTATAAGGGAAAACGGCTTCCTTAGTCCTCTATTCTTCTTCCAGTGAAAAAATCTTTTCCAGCGCTTGTCAGTTTACAATGGGAAATGTGGATCCAAGATTTAACCCCTGCGACTTTAACAGCTGAATTAGTGGTTAATAACACTTGACCAGGTCCTTTCCACCTTGGTTGCAACGCGTGCTTTCGTGAATGATCTTTTATCATAACATAATCTCCAGGAGCGATGGCATGCAAAGGTTGGTATTCACTTGTTCGCTGTACAGCTTTTACCTGCATATAGAGAGACTAATCGTTTTGTTAGCTACATGCAATATGACATCAACAAATCATCATTTATCTCATGAGAATTAAATTTTAGAGGTAGCCCTCCTGTGAACATTGGTCTTCCCATTAGAATTTCATGAGGAGATAACCCATGCTTTCGAGCTGGAGAGAATCTCATAGACATTAAGGCAAGAGGAAGTGCATTAAGCCACTTTAACTTTCTCTGCTGCAATTTTTGCAATTTTGTTTTTTTAATGTTCCATTGGCCCTTTCTACTGCTCCTTCTGACTGAGGATGATGAGAGCAATGTAGATAAGGGATTTGCTAAATTTTTGCTATCTGTTGCACTACTTTTGCTATGAAATGTGTTCCCTGATCTGAGTAAATGTGCCGAGGCAATCCATACCTGGGTATAAATTCTTGTAACAATTTCTTAAACATTGTAGACATATCGGCATGGCAACAAGGATAAGCCTCAATCCAACCTGAGAATGTATCTAATATTACTAGCACATACCGATACTGCATTACCTTTGGTAATTCAATGAAATCCATTTGTAAATTTACAAATGGACCTCATTAACAGGGAGGATGATTTAGGTCTCTGACCTGCATTGTATTGTAAACAAATAACACATGAAGAACACACCAGTGCCAATACAGATTCTAGGCCCAGCCTTGACCATTCAGAATTAAACAACAATGATGGCAATGCTGGTCTCCCACTAAATATACATTCTCCCCACCAAAATCACTTACTTCTTCTTCCCTCAGTATCACATACAATTCATTTACTTTCAAATGTACCATAGGTTCTGGACCTTGGGTCACAGGTACACTAACAATACATATTCAGACCCCAATCTTCCTCTACATCTAGTCTGTCTTTTTCTTCTAATTGCTTTCTTGCCCCCTTTACCTCCTTGCAATCTGTTTCTATATGACCATATCCATCACAATTGAAACATTTGATAAATGTTCTTACATTATTCTGTGGGGGTCTTCTGGCTATGTTTTGTCTTGGCTGATGTGCATAATATCTAACAGGCATTTGTTCAGCTTGTAGCATTATGTGCTCAGCTTTTGCATTTTCCTTGATTTGAATAGCTTGTCAAATTTCTGATGCTGCACGTAATACAATATTAAGTGATTTATCCCGCCATCCCAGTAAGGATAACATCAATTGTTTTTTTACTTTAGAATCCAAACCATTTACTAAGGTATTCACTATGAACGGCTTAATTGATTAATTCGTGATATCTTCAAAACTTCCAAAAACCTTAATTGCTTCCGCATATTCATGGGGGTTTTCTCCTTTCTTTTGCACTATGCTATGTATAGTCAATAGGCTGGGTAAAAACTGTTTTTAATTTGATGCTGAGGAATGCATACCAATTCTTAAGGACAACATCACTCCTCTCATCAGGGCAATTTTCCCATATGTGTGCAACTGCCTGTCCCCCCACCCCTGCAGACCATGAGAAAGGTGATTCGTTATATCCTGCCACCCATTTAGTATGTTCTGTAGGGGTTAATACTGTCTCCATTAACACATTAAGATCTTATGTTGTCGGGAAATAGCTGGCACACATTATTTTTAAATGTTTTACAAACCCATTTGGATCTTTAGAGGGGGCTGGAAATGATACCTGTAAAGATGCTATGTCTTGTGGGCTCCACGGTTGACAAATCCTCCTTGGTCTCCCATCATTATCCATCTGTCCCACTTCTCTAATAGGTAAAATCATAGCCTCACTCCCATCACTCTCAGGCAACACATTGCTACATCCTGATAAACCACAGCATGATCAGCAAATCTTTTAAGCAGTCTTATATCCCTCTCAGGTCTACCACCTCAATGCAACATGGCTGAGGCACCAGCTAAATTTTGGGGTACAAGCTGTGGTGCATCATTCATCTGCTGAGGGGAGGTGACCCAAAGAGGGATTCATAATCTCATGATTAATCAAAAAATCCTCATCATCATTATAAGGCGGAGGATTTTTAACATTTCTTTTTAAATTGTACAGTGAGGGATACAAACAGGCAACACCAGTACCCTCTCCTTTACATGCCCCTCCTGTTGCACCTGATTGGGGGGAACATTCTTGCTTTTTCTTTTCAATTTCCTCATGCCATAACATATATGCAGACCATTCCAGTTTTTAAAGACTTTTTCCATTTAACAACATTGTTCTTAAACTTAACAACACCCAAGGGTCTAATGACCCCACCACTGGCCATGGATTTATATTATTCTTAGTAAACTTTGCCCATTTCTTTGAATACATAATATTTGAAGGGCCATATTTCGGTTTCATTAAATAAACTGGGGAATCACTGGGTATACTATCCCCATGATCAAGCTGCTTGCCATGATTCAACCTCATTTCTGTTACTTGTACTTTGAAACACCAAATGTATACACTCACTGTATCACCTTTTGAGAGATCGAAAGGTCACAATTTTCAGTCTGTATACTGACTGACAACTGGAGTTTACACAAAAATCTCTTCTCAAATGATGTCACAGTTTATCAAAATTTAAACCATATACACACAGTTATACAATTTTAACACAATACATCTTACTCAAGTGCTACGTTTAACCTATGAGTTTAAACAGTTAATACAAGACAACTTAACTTCACCTTGCTACGTTTAGACTGGGTGAAATTAAGACAATAAAACAAAATAATCTAATCTCACTTTCCTACGTTTAGATTTGGGAGATTAGATTCATGTGGCTAACCTCAACATTTAGCCAATTAATACAAGACAACTTAACTTCACCTTGCTACGTTTAGACTGGGTGAAATTAAGACACTAAAACAAAATAATCTAATCTCGCTTTGCTACGTTTAGACTTGGGAGATTAGATTCATGTGGCTAACCTCAACATTTAGCCACAATCACATGACAGGGATACATCATATCAAAGAGACTCTCACCAACAGAGCTACGTTTAGACTTCTGAAGGCCCACCAAACCCCTATTGGGTCTGCGAAGTTTAGTCACTTAAGTCTTCCTAGGGGACTACCTGTCAGTGCTACCACTGATTCTAGAATCACTCAGACAGACACTAATACTGCAGTATATTTTACAACATAGACATAAATAGTAACGTTACAAATGGTCAATAAAAGGCTAAGAAATCAGGTCACACAGACTAGCATTTACCTACACCGTTCTTTGTTTCATGGACACTCAAAAATTACACTAATGCCATGTTTTATAAATGGTATGGCTTACCTTTCATATGACCGGTCTGTTTGAGTGCCCACGAAATGGTTGACAGGTGCAGGTGTTCCGCTGGTGTCTGTGGTATTCTGATCCCGGACAAAGAGCCCCCAACTGTGGAAGTAGACAAAAATATTACCAGGTTCAATAAAAAGCGTTTTAATTGACCATTACAATACACAGGGATATCTCATGGAGATTGGCAAGAAGCAATCTAACATCATGTTACAATTCCTCATATTTTATACATATGACCCGGAACTGGCCTTTCGTTTAGCTTGAATCAGAACTCCAAATATGGTCTTATTTCTTATTGGCTAAATTCTAGCATAACTGACAAATTTAAGGTTCAAAAGTTTAAGCATCCCATGATCTTTCTAACAGATAACTTGACCACAGTCATGCGTCTTACTTCGCTAAAATATCGCTTGTCTATGATAAGAGTTAACACATATAAGACTTCCTCTTTCACAACTTAAGCACACATTTCACCTTTCCCCCCCTGGCAACATCTGACAAGACACGCTTTCAAAATAACTTTTCCTTTTGCAATCCAAAAAACAGTCCAGACATCCATTAATAAATTGTAACAATAAAACATAGTTTCTTCTTATTTCTTAGAGTAAATATTCTTCTTTGATTATATTTTAAGATGATGATTAAACAGCAAAATGGCTGACAGCATGTCAGTAGCAGGTTACATATGTTCACAATGTCAAGACACGGAGGCTCATATTGCAAGTTTAAAGCTGAGCAATAACCGACGAGAAAACGTGTGGCTGAGGTCGAAAGTAGAATTCCTTGAAGGTGGATTCTCTGGACCAGTCCGCCATTCTCATAAGGTCTTCCAGGCGTGCCCCCCGAAGAGGCCATAGAAGTGGCTGAAGCCCCTCGTGTGGAGTGGGCGCTAAAAATGGATGTGTCCACACCCGCCTGTGACATTACCCACTTCACCCAACGAGCCAGAGTCGTGCTGGATACTGGGGCGAAGGGCTGACGAATTGAGAGGAAAAGTTGAGGAGTTGAAGCCGACCGATGGGCCTTCGTCCGAAGTTCGTATTCTCTCAAACAGGTCACTGGGCACAACATAGGGGTAGTTGAAAAACTCGGGTACGAGACTGAACGTATGGCCATCTTAGTCCTTCTGGAGATATTAAATGTCACCCCGTCCGGGGTGAAGGATCTCGCATCATGGTCCAGGGCACGTAACTCTGAGACTCGTTTGCATGAAATGAGGCAGAACAGGGATACCAACTTGGCAGAGAGTTGTTGCAGGGTGAGGTCCGAATTGGGCGGCCAGGAGGAAAACAGTGATAGGACGCAGGAGACGTCCCATGTTGCTGTGTATCGAGGTCTGGGGGGACGCGAGAGGCGTGAACCCTTGAGTAAGCGGCACACCAAGGGATGTTGGCCTGCTGGGCAGCTGTTGAAACCATGATGAGCTGAGGAGATGGACGATCTGTATAGGTTAATCGTGCGATATGCTCGACCCGCTTCAAATAATGATGTGAGGAACTGGAGTATCGCTGTCACAGGAGCTGCCACAGGATCCAGGTCCCTAGCCAGGCACCAGCCAGTCCAAGCTCTCCAAGCAGTCCCGTATGAGCGTCTAGTGCCGGGAGCCCATGCGTCAGCCAGGAGGCGTCGAGTTGTGTCCGAAACTCCTTGGACTTCCCAGGGACCCCTGAAATCCTCCATGCGAGTAGCCGTAATGATCCGTCCAGTAGGAGGAGATGTTGTTGGCCCAACGGGTTCAGCAGAAGGTCCCGGTGGGACGGCAGAAGTGCGGGGACGTCTATTGCCAGTTCCAGGAGTTGTGGGAACCACGACTGGGTACCCCAGAATGGGGTTAGCAGGACCAAGTCCGCCATCTGGTGCCGTACTTGGAGTAGCACTCAGGAAGCATGGCAAATGGAGGAAAGCGTAAAGGCGTGCGCCGGACCAGTCTTGTAGGAAGGCGTCCACTGCTTCCGTGGCCGGGTCTGGGCGCCAGCTGTAGAACCGGGGTAGTTGGGCGTTGAGCCTGGAAGCGAAGAAGTCGATGGTAAAGGGCCCCCAAAGGGACAATATAGTGGAGAAAACCTCTGTATCCAATTTCCAATCGCTGCTGTCTGATAGATAGCATGAGCTCCAATCCACATGGGTATTGTGAAGACCGGGGAGGTATTCCACCTGGACCATCAGGTCCCTGGCTAAGCAATAGGTCCAGAAATCTTTTGCCAAACGGGCCAACATCGCTGAGCGTGTGCCGCCCAGGTGGTTGACATAGCGAACCGCTGAAATGTTGTCCATACGCAGCCTGATGCATGCACTGGCCGTACCATTCGCAAAGCTCCGGATCGCAAAGGAACCGGCTAGTAGTTCCAGGGCATTGATGTGGAGTCGGGACTCGGCCTCTGTCCAGCGACCCCCGGTAGTCACACCGTGCGCCCCAGCCATGGAGACTTGCGTCCGAGTCCACCGTGAACTCCGGTTGTGAGCCGAAGATGGCCTTGCCATTCCAGGCGGATAGGTTGTGGATCCACCAGGTCATCTCGTCTCGGGATTCCGAGTCCAGGGAGACCAAATCTGCATATGAGGCCCCTTTGCGAAGGTGTGCTATCTTCAGCCGTTGGAGGGCCCGATAATGGAGCTGAGCTAGGAACACTGCCTGGATAGAGGAGGCCAGTAGGCCAATAAGTCGTGCCAGGTGCCGCAACGACAGCTGGTGGCGCGTCAGGGCGCGTCGCAGTTCCTTGCGGATTGAGCGTATTTTGGCCGCAGGGAGACCGAGAGACTCCGCTTCCGAGTCCACCGTGAACCCTAGGAACTCCATGTGTCGGGAAGGGGATAGGCAGGATTTTTCCCCGTTGAGCAGGGAGCCCTGCCGACATAGTAGGTCCATTGTCCATTGAAGGTGTTCTAGGAGGACCCCCCGATCTTGTGCCATGAGGAGGATATCGTCCAGATAGACCAGGGTTGTCAAACATGCGGCCCCCCAGATGTTGCTGAACTACAACTCCCATGATTCCCTGGCTATCTGTTTCATTGAAAGAATCATGGGAGTTGTAGTTAAGCAACATCTGGGGGGCCGCATGTTTGACAACCCTGAGATAGACTATCAGTCTTACCCCTCGACTGCGCAGCCAAGCCATCAATTTGGTGAAGCACCACGGAGCTGACGATAGTCCGAAAGGGAGGCATGTGAATCGCCACGTTTCGCCTTTCCAGAGGAATCGTAGTAGGTCCCTGGACGACTCGGTCACCGGGACTGTCAGGTAAGCATCTTTGAGGTCTAATTTCGCCATTAGTCTCCGCGTAGGAGTAAGTCCCGTAGGAGGTGGATGCCCTCCATTTTGAAGTGGCGGTAGCGCACTATGGAGTTTAGGGCCCGAAGGTTTATAACGGGGCGCATCTGGCCGCCTTTCTTTTCCACAAGGAAGATGTTGCTGAGAACACCAGTATGGGGCAGGGGAGCTCGTTCTATCGCTCCCTTCGTGCGGAGTGACAATAGCTCCTCGTCTATTAAGGCTCGGATTGCCTTTGAAAGTACCAAAGGGTGAGGGGGAGGAATACGACACGGGGTGTCTACTAATTCTATGTGAAACCCCCTCACAGTGGCCAGAACCCAGGAATCTGAGGTGATATCTAACCAGGCATGGAAAAAATGACGGAGTCTGCCCCCTACACAGATATTGGAAAAAGCATGAGGTAGGTGTAGGCTTACCGTAAGGGCGTCTGGAACCGGGGTTCCCTCTGAAGCCTCTGGAGCGCCATGGTCTTCCACGAGATGGGAAGAAGGGAGACTGGTGTCTCGTGTCCTGATAAGGTGGTCTCTGATTATAAGAGCCTCGTCCCAATCCTCGGGAGTTGAAATTTGACCGGCCGGACAGACGGCCCCTGAATCTGCCGGCCCTGGTAGAGACCCGTCCATGAAATACCCTCTTCATGGAGGACTGGGCCTTCTCTGGGGCTGTGAAAGCACCTACAAAGCGCCCCAAATCCTTGATAAAGGAGTCTCCGAATAGTAGGCCATGGGCATCTTTGCCCGCTTCAGTGAGGGCGAGGTTGGCCAATTTAGGCTCGATTTTGAAGAGGATGGCTTTACGCCGCTCTATAGACAGGGAGGTGTTAACGCTACCTGCTATGCAGATTGCCCTCTGCACCCAACCACGGAGTTCTTCCGGGTCGACCTGCCTGTTCTCATTTCTGGCTAGCTCGGCCAGGTCGAATAATTTAGCCAGGGGGCCAAAAATGTCCAGGTGTTTGTCCTGGCAGGATTTTAATGCTGAGTCCAAACCCTTACGGGGATTCCAACCCATCTTGGAAAGAAACTGTGTCATTTTTGGGTCTACAATGGGAATCTCACAGACTTTATTGGGGATCAGGGGTCTAGGACATTCTGCCCTAAACTTGTTGCGTGCCGCCTTGCTAAGGGGGCGCCGTACCCAGTTCTCCAGGTACTTTGCTACATGGGCGGCTGGGAGCCATTCTGCCGAGCTCGGGTGATGGAGAGCATCTGGGTCAAACATAGGTTCCCCAGCCGGGTCCAGGAGGGTTGAACCCGCGGTAGCGGGAGAGTCGCTGCGAGAGCCACTAATTACCAACCCTGATAGGGCAGGGGCAAAAGGGTCAGTGTCCTGCCCGTCAGTCTCATTATTGGAGTCATCTCCGGACTCATCAACAGCCTCCTCACAAGACCCGATTTCTGAGTCGAAGTCGCTCTCTGCATGTCCTCTGGCACATTTCCAGTGCCGCGCCCGTTCTGCCAGGCGCGGAAAGGCTCATTTGCGTGACATAGGCACGCTATCATGGGTGAATATTTTCACACCAGTCTTGTTGGTTCTGAAGGCGGGAGGGCTTAGGTGTCTAGATTTGGCCTTGGC